AGGCTTCAAGGAGGGGAAGATTTAGGAGAGAAGACAAGCAGTGTGCTGCAGTGCATGCAAATGTGTTACGCTTGCATAATCTCAAGTGTGGAATTTTGGATGAGTATCTTCCCACCGTGAACCTCTGCTTGAAATTGTGTGAAATGCTTATTTTCTTTATTTGAATTGTTCCCTCTTTTGCACGTAAGACTGTAAAGGTCTTGGGGCTACTACAGCCTGTCTGTTTTCCCCCCAGGAAACTCTATAAGCCATAGATATACCGATGGTGTTGGGTAAGCAATATCGTACTGCAAGATAATATTTTTCTCTGGTGGGAGGATTTGCAAGCTGCATAGCAGAAGAAGAGAGGTTCTTAGCTTACCGCATCCAAAAGGGATAACTCTGAAATACTGAGTGTTCACATCACTCTTCTCTTTCTTCCTAGAGACCTGCTGTCCCCTGATTCCCTTTTGAGCTGCTTGTATCCCGGAGATCATGGGAAGCGAACTCCCAATCCTGCCAACCAGTTCCAGTTTGATAAAGTTGGGTAAGCCAGGAGTGGGCAGAAGGGTGTCCCTGTGGACCTTATATTGTCTGTCTGTCACTACCTCTCTCTCTCTGTATGTCTTTCCAGTATCCTGACCCTCAGCGACTATGTCACGGAGCTGGGCCACCCTTACGTGTGGGTGCAGAAGCTGGGGGGGCTGCACTTCCCCAAGGATCAGCCCCAGGTGAGTTTGAATACAGAAGACACATCTCCAGCAGCCTTCATCACTGCTGCCGATGCAACTCTTGCAGGGAGGGCAAGCTTCTCAGTCCTGGGTCTCCAATTTCTTTCCAAGGCAGTGAGTGTTTGCTCATGGAAGCATGAACGAAGGGGTTGTGGTGGGCATGTGCAGGTGGGTGCAAATGCACATGTAAGACTGGATATCAAAGGGGAAGTGGGCTACATTATAGCATGTATAGATGGATGCAAACTGTGGGGGCATAGATTCGCAGGGCAGTGGAAGGGCTAGAAGAATCCAACTACATCTGTTGGCCAGGGTACTGAATAGGGGGGTGGAACGAAATGTTTTCCTTGTAACGTGATGAAGAGGCAGAAAAAGGAATATTTAGATCTTGTTCCATCCGAAAACCTTATTTAGCTCACACAAGTGTTTACCATTTTGCTAATCAATTCAACATTACCATAAATTCTTTACACACTATTTAAATACATCCCAGATATGTCATGTTGTGGCACTTGTGATGCTACATGTTTCTGGAAGAGAGAAGTACGAACTCCCAGCCACTCTTGGTCCTTTGGCTACAGCACAGGGCCATGTTGCCCTTCCCCTTCCCTTCGCATACACAGAGCTCTACATAGTCATGGACTCCTTCAAAAGATAGTTATCATTACCATCCCTGTGGCCGTGTTTCCCTGTTTTGCTGCACGGCGTTTCAGTTAGAAGAACTGTTACAGGGATTCCTCACTTGACGTTTAGAGTTCCTTCTAATCACAGTTGCATCAACTCACCAAACATCTCCAGAAAGGGAAATGAAGAAAGTGAAGCGACAAGTTATGCGCTTGACATATGATGCGGCAGACCAGAGCTTATGGCCTGTAGCCTGTTGCTGAATGGCACAGATGAGCTAGAAGGGTCCTCGACATCGGGGACAAATGCCTGGTTTCTTTTCCCAGCATGCTTGGCAACTCTTCAGATCTATAGTTAAGAGAACCTAACTCGGTCAGGCCCACCTGGTTTGCCAGGCAGCTGATGTAGCTCTTTCTTCCTTGTCTTCTCTTGTTTACAACAGCCCGTGGTAGCAGACAGCTCTCTGAGCGCCAGCCACATGGAGAGGACCATGAAGTTGCTCAAGATGAGGCTGGAGTCCCGCCTGGCTCTGCACAAGCAATTTGCTTCCCTTGGTACGTCCCAGCAGGCCTCCCCTCCTCTTTCTCCAGAGCTAGCGCTTACCTCGGTGAAAGCGGCCACATTTTCGGGGGCAGCAGCCCTCTCCACCCTTTGCAGACCCAACATCCACCTTTAACCCCGGACCATGCAACACAGGAGTTAGTTCGAAGCCCCAGTACTCACTCTGATGGTGATATCTGTGCCTGGGGTTTAGAGTAAACTGATAAGGTCCTAAACTGAGTGAACGTTATGAAGCCAGCAGTAGCGCTGGTCAAGCTTGAGGCTGGGGTAGACTCACCCCAAGTTTTGGTAGTTCATTTGCTGGTCGCAACTCGCACCAGAATGAGGGTTGGTCACATTTGTCACATTTATGTATTTATCCACTTCTTCATTTACCCCCCCCCATCTTTCTGCCCCATAGGGGATCCAAAGCAGCCTACATCTTTCTCCTTTCCTCTATGTGCTCCTAGATTGATGTGGTTCTTCTTGGTTTTGGGTTTCAGAGCACGGAATCCTGCCAGTCTCCAGTGAATGCCAACACCTCTTTCCTGCAAAGATCGTGTCACGTTTGGTGAAGTGGACTGCGCTCACATATGAGGATTACCTGGTAGGTTGGGGGGGGGCAGCTTGAGAGGAGCAGCCCCACAGCTCCCCTGCTTTTCATGGGGCCTTGAAGTTACCCAGCCAGTTTGATGTAGTCGTTATGAGCGTGGACTCTAATCTGGGAGAACTGGGTTTGATTACCCACTCCTATACATGCAGCTTCTGGTGTGACCTTGGGTCAGTCACAGTTCTCTCAGAGCTGTTCTCTCACAAGCAGTTCTCAAAAGAGCTCTCTCAGCCCCACCTACCTCATAGGGTGTCTGTTGTGGGGAGGGGAAGGAGAAGGAGATTGTAAGCTGCTCTGGACTCCTTTGGGTAGTGAAGGGTGGGGTATAAATCCAGTTTCCTCCTCCTCTTCTTCTGTTGGGTGGGGTGGGGGGGTAACCATGACATTGGCTTGGAGAGTGTGCCTGCACATGTCCAGCTCGCCACCACCTTTGTGCCCTTGCAGGAGCTGCCCTACACCAAAGATGTTGTGGAGGCTGGTTTGGCTGAGGATACTCACCTGTATTACATGGCACTGATCGAAAGAGGAACAGGTATGTTGGTTGCCCTTCTCCTTGGCCTCCCTGGAGTGGCCTCTGGAAGAATGCATGGCTTTCATGGGGGGGAAGAGCTGAAACACTCCAGTAAAATGCCCCACATTCTGTGTTAGGGCTTAACTAGTATAGCTGAGGTGCATTGGATTTTGGTCACAGAGGCTTGGAGCTTAGATGCATTGCAGTCCAAGGGAAGGGGCAAAGAGGCCATTGCAGTGGAAAGCGACTGAGATCACTGGGTGATGGAAGCTTTGGACAGCCAGAGTCTCCTGGTACAACTGCAGTGTGCCATTCTGAATCTACTCTTGTGTACTGAACAGCCCGTGGAATGGGTAAATAGGAGGAAACTTACTACTCAAAGCCCCCCCTCCCCAAACACTATCCACCACCACCACCCACAGTGAAAGTACTGCCTGTAGTGCCTGTAGTGTTGGGAGATGGGGTTCTTTTCTGAGCAGACCTGGATGCGTTCAAGAGCCATTTCTTCATTTCTCTCCCCCCCCCCCCCCCGCCATGTCCCAGTTCTCAAAAGCAAATTGTTGTTTTCATTTCTGCTTTGCATAATTCTGCTTACTTGCCATAGGTTGTCAAATCACATTCAGCTTGTGTGTGTCTGTGTGTCTGTGTGTGTGTGTGTGCGCATGTGCAGAATGAGGGGGAAAAAGAAGAGAGAATTTTGCAAGCTCTACTTGCATGTATGTGCACTGATTGAGGATCAGTCTGAGAGTTCCAGCCTGCTGGTTCCTGCACTATATAGCTCTCTCCTCACACACTGCTCTGCTGATACATCTCCCCTTGTGTTGTAGCCAAACTCCAAGCTGCTGTGGTGCTGAACCCGGGGTACTCTTCCGTGCCACCTGTCTTCAGCCTGTGCCTGAACTGGAAGGGAGAAAAGACCAGCAGCAATGATGACAACATCCGGGTAAGTTGGGAGACACAAGCCAGGAAAAGGTCCAGCCAGAGTCACTTAGGTGTGCTGGGCTTGGCAGCTGACTTTTTACTCCCACTGTGTCCGCCCCAGCGGCACCCAAATCTCTTCTTGCTTCTCTGTGTCCAAGTCTGACTGTCCCTGTTTTATGAAAACCTATATAACTGAAATAACTTTCCTGCAATATTCAGGACAGTATACATGTGTGTACATCTGGGAGGCTGACCACTCTGTCTCCTGGTCGTTGTTTTTTCCAGTCCATGGAGAGTGAGGTCAGTGTCTATTACAAAGAGCTGTGCGGCCCCAAGCCAGGCTACCAGCTGTTGACCAACCAGCTGCAGCGCTTGTGCGTCGTCTTGGATGTTTACCTAGAGACGGAGACCCATGACAACAGCGTGGAGGGGCCCAAGGAGTTTCCACAGGAGAAGATGTGTCTGCGTCTAGTCAGGTAATGAGTTACAAGGACTACCTAACATGTGGGGAGGAGCCTTCTGTGAGATTTCGGCTCCTCTGTGAACAGGGGGTATTTCCCCCCCCCCCCCAATCATAGGTATGATTTTGTGCAAAGTCTCCTTCTCTGACAATACATTCTCAATTTTAACATTTTGCCCAAGTCAAGTAGCTGGCTGCCTGCACAGGCTCAGAGGCTTCCCCCATCTCTTTTCATTGAAAGTGCCCACCTGTAGCCTCTTTGGGCGATGCATTGCTCATGCTGTTGCCTGCTTGTGTTGCCCTCACTCTCACACTTAATGCTGCGATGGGAGTAGACCTGTTTACATCAGCCACAGGTTGGGGGCTGTGATTTTGAACAAGCTGTGTCCTAGACAGGCCTCCTCTCTTTTCCTCTCCCTTCCCCTTTCGGCACACATTGCTCCTACTGCTCTCCATTGTCCTGCTCCTCCTGGTGCAGCTGCGTGTCTTGCTGGGTGCAGCTGCTCTTTCTGCCTAGAAAAAGGAGCTTCACATCGGGAGCCCTTCTCTCTCCCTCTCTGCAGGAGGCTGCTGCTTTTTTCTCCAGATCCTGCCCTTTGATCGGGGATTCATTGCCGCCTTGGAGCGGTCTCCATTTTCAGCTTTACTTTGAGCCCAGCACCTATGAATTCTCATCCTTAAGCAGTCCTGTGTCCCTTGCTTAGTCGGCATTGGGACTGGTGCTCTTGGTCTCCTCTTCTCCGAAGAGGAAATGGGACACTGTGGAGCAAATTAAGAGGCTACCATGCAGAGTTTCCCCCTATGACCTAAATTTAGGAGCCTCCTTGGAAAATACGGAAACGTAATAAAGATGTAATTAAAATGTATTCATTAAGAAAAAGAAAATACCGAAACAGAGAAGGGAAGATGGAGATGAGACTGCGCATGAGCAATGAAGGATGGGAATCAATGCAGAGAGAAAAGGCAACATACAGCATATGGCATCCCTACCCTGAACTACAGGAGCTCTCAAACATGACTTCTGATTTCTGAGTAGATTTTTTAAAAGCCACATTTGTGTAGAATCTTGAATATTAGATACTTAGATTTAAAATTAATCCTGAAATGGTGGGAGTTATGGAGAGTAGAACAGATTCCAGGTTGAAACCCAGATGCCCTTGTCTGCAGCACTGTGACAGAGATACAGAGTTCTGACCTTCTTGCATTTAACTACTTTGTTTTGTTTGTTTTTGCTTGCATGGTGAGTAAAGGCTGGAACTGGGCTTCTGTCTTCTGATGCCCATCCCCCTGGTCTCCTCTGCTGGTTTTGTCTTTTTAGTTTGAAGCACCCTGGGGGCAGTGATCTTTTTTTCCGTACAAAGTACAAGGCATAGCAGTAATTTGGCTGGAGCCAGTTAAGATGCTTGGGTTCCACTGCAGTGTGAAACCTGTGCTCTGCTTTTACAGAATTTTGTACACTGCTGTTTGTTTGTTTATTTATTTATTTACATTGCTGTTAGTGTGTTGTTAATCAGCATAATAATGAGGCAGCCAGCGCTTTTTCAAAGAGACTTTCCCGTGGTAGCCTTGGACACTCAGCACTCTCTCTGCTTCCCTTCCTTTCTTAGGGGACCCAGCCGGATGAAGCCTTTCAGGTTCAACTATCCTCAGGGGTTCTTCAGCCATCGTTGACCCTTGGCGCTGGGATCCTCCTCCTCTGGACAGCTGCCTCCCAGGAGAGTGTCTCTTGGCTGGAATTTTTCACTGATGGAGGTCCAGCTTCCTCTTTCCCAGGCCACACCAGAGATTCCTGCTCACCTGCCGCTCTGGCTCAACCATTCCACTTTTGGTTCTCTGTAGTGTGTGTATGCGTGTGGGTATCTTTTAAGTATTAAAGATGACAGTTAGAAACTCCTAAATCCCGTGAGTGATTCTGCTTTTGTGCACATTCATGGTGAGTGGTCATTCAGACATGTAGCCCCTCGAGCCATGAGTCTTTCCTCGTTCCGCAACCTCAGACCCTTTCAACCAGAGATTCCCGATATTAAATCTGGGATGTTTGCATGCAAAGCAAGGGCCCTTCCCAACCACTGGTAGGTGGGCTTTTTAAAAAAAAATGCAGAAGTGGGTTGTGGGGAGGCTAGAAGGCAGTTGGATCCATCCCTGTTTCCCCCTGCACAGGAGTGCTCTGTGTCCACTGCATCCCTTCATCCGGTCTGTTTTGGGCAAATCTATCAAGCCCCTGAGGATTTTTATATGTTAACACAGAGAAGTGAAGATCTGATTGCTCAGAATTTTCCCTAGGTACTTCTGCTGTCAGTTGTATAGGAGAGAGGCTCTCCTGGCTAGGGCTTGGATCATTCCACTTCACTCCCATGACAGCTTCTTGAAAGTGGGACCTCTGGCCTCCAGAGGCAAAAAGAAGAGGCAGGCAGTTTGGGGTAGAAGGGCCTTTTACAGTTACAGCAAAAATACTGTTGGAGTCAGGGGTCCATAAGCAGCCTAAGATCAAAGCTTGGCCTAAGTGAATGCTGAATACTCTGCCCAGCCTGCCGGTGGTTTCTGATGGCCACTTCATGTGTCTGTTTTAGGCCCAAAGTGTAAAAAGCAGTGCATGAAAACTGCAAGGGTTTGGAAGCCACAGTAGCCTTTTTCAGTAGCCTTCTTATATGAAGCAGACCTGAGTCCTTCCCCAGCACTCTGTTGTTTGAAAATACCCCCACGATATGTATGTAGCATTGGGGCTTGGTTGATTAAATAAATGCCAAGATTCTTGAACTGCCCCTATTTGGGCTAGATAGCTGGGAACAATGTTCCCTCTAAGCTGTGGAGTCTTGTGAGCAAAAATTCTACTTTGTGAGCTACTAGCATTAAAGTGAGCGAGTGATTTGGCTGCTGCTTAACCTAGTTTGCTCTGGAGCCATCCTTCCTGAGCCGAGACAAAAATGTGTGAGCTGGGGGCTAAAAAAATGTGAGCTAGCTCACACTAACTCAGCTTAGAGGGAACACTGGCTGGGAGCCTGCTTAGACAAGCCAAGTGTGTGCACAGCAGGAGCAAGCTGAAGGCAGTTGCAACAGAATAAAAATGGGAGACCTGAACAAGATTAGGAGGAGGGGAGGCCATGGTCAGATGGTGCTGCAGGAAAGTTGTGATGGTCTTACTGAAGACAGAACCTCCAACAGGGAGGAGTGGGGAATCTCAGATCACCCCTGGCTTGATGGAGAGCTACAGAGTGGGCAGGGCAGACTGTCTCCTTTCCCACCTTCAACAGTGTACTTTCCCGGCTTCCTTTTCTGTCAAGTCAGCTGGCCCTCTGCCATCAAGGAATGCGAGAAGGGAAGTCTGCATTGCAGCTTCCATTAGGTGCCTATTTTTAGCCCCGTGTCTGGCTTATTTCAGTATATGCAGCAGGAGGAGGAGGAGGCTGGACTGCAGGCAGCTCTGGGGGAGAGGGGATGATAGAAGAGAGATGAAAATGGCCAGAAGGAGGTGGGGGGGGGATCCAGGGCATTTTGCAAGCATCCCACAAAAGCCAGACCACCCACTACCTTGGGTGTTTTAAAAGGCTGACAGTTGCTGTGCCTTCCACATCTCCCTACTGGTGAAGAAGAGCTCAGCCAGAGGTTTCTTCAGTAGGGTTGTGCAAACATTTATACAGTGAACTTTGCTCAGCACCGGAAGTATCTCCGATTTCTTACAATAATATTGTAATAATCCAGATCCCAGACCAAGGGAAGAGGAATTTCGGCAGCCCAATGGAGAACTGGGCCATTGCTTCCGTATGCTCGAAGTTTTTCCAGCCCACTTACAAGGGGCAAGATAGTGGGGCGGAAGATGAGTCAGTTTCACCCTTGAGAGCTTGAGAAGTGGGGAGCACCAGGGAACCAAAAGGTTTTTTTGGGGGGGAGGCTGCATTGACAGGGCTGATGCCCCTTGCATGAGAACATGGTGTTCTCCGCACATATTAAATGCACGCTTGTAGTTGGTCAAATTTTGACTCCACCTTTTGCAGAAATCTGAGCATTTGAACACTTGAAATAGCATTAATCAGTCATGCAGCTTTCCCTCCTCATGAAGGTGCTGCCGTTGAAAGTGGCCTTTTCTACCCCCTGCCCCATTTCATTTTGATGTAATGTTCCTTGTTTGGTTTACATAGCTCTTCACCTGGGGCCACAGAGCGCCTTCTGCTCCCCAGGGATTGGGGAGGGGAGCGATTTCCTTCCACCGAAGCCAACTAGGAAGCGAATAACCCATTGCAACAGGGGAGGACATGGGGCTGCTGTGTTTCACAACATGTTTCTCCTCCAGAATTTGGAACTTTTTTGTTCAGATTTTATCTCTGCGAAAAGTGGAGTAAAAATGTATGTCTCGCTTTTCCATTCAAATATAAAACCACTCAGGGCTATTTTTGGGCAGGAACGCACAGGAACGGAGTTCCGGCTGGCTCCCAAGTTGGCCACGCCCAGCAGGAACTCATTAGCATAATGGGCCACACCCAACAGCAGGAACTCATTAGGATTGGCTACGTTAGGGGTGTGTGGCCTAACATGCAAAGGAGTTCCTGGTACAAAAAAAGCCCTGGGTTTTGACAACAAACAAGGTAAACAGAATAAGAAGCAAAAGGTGGGTGTGGCTGGATGACCAGGCTTCTGGTAACATGGGGGTGCGTCCTAATGTGCTAATGAGCTGTGCTGGCAGGGGCGTGGCCTAATATGCTGATGAGTTTCTGGCATTGGGTGTGGCCTATTATGCTAAAGAGTTCCTGCTGGGCTTTTTCTACAAAAAGAGCCCTGTAAAACCTTATTACAATACAAAAACAAAATCCTATCACAATACAACGAAGAACTAACAGAGCCTCTGCCCTGACTTGGGAAGCCCAGGCTAGCTCGATCTCGTCAGATCTTGGAGGCTAAGCAGGGTTGGCCCTGGATAGTATTTGGATGGGAGACCACCCAGGAAGCCCAGGGTCACTACGTAGAGGCAGGTAAGGGCTAACCTCTGAACCTCTCTAGCCTTGAAAACCCTGTGGGGGTCACCATAAGTTGTCTGTGACCTGACGGCACTTTCCACCACCACCAGAGTCCCCCCCCAGCAAAAGGCGGCAGATCCTTTTAAAGGCCTCAGCAGTCCAGGGTGGGACTGAGCAAGTGGAAACGCTCAGTCTAGATGGCGCAGTCTCCCCCAGCAGAACAGACTGCTGAGGGAACGTGTGTACATTGTGGGTGAAATCATCAATAATCGTGTGGAACTTCAGGCTTCTCTTCTACCTTAAGAACATAAGAGATGCCAATGTTGGATCAGGCCAAAGGCCCATCCAGCCCAACACTCTGTATCACACAATGGCCAGAAATACCAGGTGCCATCAGAAGGTCCACCAGTGGGGCCAGGACATTAGAAGCCCTCCCACTGTTGACCCCCCCCCAAGCACCAAGAAGACAGAGCATCACTTGCCCCAGAGTCCCTATCTATACCTTGTGGCTAATAGCCACTGATGGACCTCTGCGCCATATGCTTATCTAATTCCCCTTTGAAGCCGTCCATGCTTGTAGCCTTGCAATCTGTAATTGTAGATGTGCTTCCTAAATGACCAAAGCTTACGCATACCCAATTCGCACGTGCAATGGGCCAGTGAAACTGCCATCACGCAACATGATTGAGTTTTGCTTGCTCTTTGTGGGGTGTCTGTCCTCTGAAGAAGTAACCTGCACGTCTCAAATTCGCCCTTTCCTAGGATTCTGGGGATCTTGGATTACATGGGTAGCAAATTTCAACTGTGCAGCATTTGTAAGGGTAGCTTAAGCAATTTTTGGAGGAGGGGGGAGAGATGCATCATGCCTCCCGTTTTGAGGAAAAGATTTATAGAAGTCCCTTTCTGGACATCTCAGAGCCTTGGGCTATCTGTGTATCAGATCTTGGGTACCTGGTTCATGTGTAATAAGCACCTGGACAGTTTTGATACCTCCTTGAGGAAGGGAAGCCCAGGATGAAGCTGGAAGCAAGGCCACTTATAACTGGGTTGGTCTGCAGATAAATTTCAGAAGCAAGGTAAAAATGCCTTTTATATCAGGAACAAGCAAGAGATCACAAAACTGTGCAAGGTTTTGAGTTCTCCAGAGCTCTTCACCAGGGACTGGCTGATATAAATTTTGAGAGGTTGTACTAGGTATGTTTTTTTAACTACCTGGAGCCAAACTTTGGTTACCCATTTCTGAAGAAGAAATGAACCATTTCTCCAGTCCACCCTGCCCCCCCTTTCAGGCTTTTATCAAGATGCTCTGGAATGGGTTTGTACTGAATGTCAGGACTCGGGTTCATCAGTACCCCCAGCTGTGACTGAATCAGTCTAGGCCAAATATAGGTATATAATTTCTAACTAATCTGCAGGCTTCATGCGGGTGGCAGAGCTGGCATTGTGCTTTATGTACATCATAAATGCACAATTATCCATATGGAGCTGAGGCGTGAGTGGAATGTGTGTGTGTGTGTGTGGATAATCCTCGATGAAGAGCCAAGAGCCAGTCTTAATCATATCTCTCAGGTAGGTAATCACAAGAAGGGGATGTGCGTTGCTTCCTTGAAAATTTACCATCTCTCTCTCAAAAGCAAGGAGACGTCATTATCAGTTAGGGATGTGTTAATAAAAACTGAGGATACAAGAAAGACAGGCTTGGACTTAGCGTAGGTATTTTAGGATGGAGAGGGTAATGTGGTCCCACGTGCTTGAAAAGCATCCATTAATGTGAACAGTGGCGACAGAGCCCGCTGTGCAGACACAGTCTAATGATGCCCATTGTATGTGAGGAGGGGAAGAAGGGGGCCACCTTGAACCAAGAGGCCAAGGATTTGGCTCCGTGAAAACTTGCAACACCTCTGCTGAATTCTCAGGCAAGGACTGTGGTGAGTCTGCAGGGGGAGGGCATTCCCAAGTCCGGGTACCACAGCTAAGAAACTGTAGCAACGCATGGCTTTGCCATTCTGAACACCATGCTAATAATACTCAAATTTATACAGCAATGTCAAGGCATTTACAGTACTGTAATTGTGCCAGTATTATGTAGACAGGGAGGGCCTGGCTGCAAGCCACATCAGGGGCTCAAGCTGAAATAAAAGCTTTTCTGAACAGTTCTTAAGTTGGAACGTCATAGCCACAGCTCAGAACTGGCTCATGCACGCAGGAGAAAGAGATGGCAAGGTCGTCTAATGTATGACACCACTTCAGGTTGCAGAATCCATTTCTGAAAATTCCCTCACCTACAGCAATTCTACAAAGATAGAAAACTAGCAAACCAGGAAGAAAGGTTCTGCCTACCCCATTTTGGTTGCTGTGCTGGTTTTCTGTTTACATGGAGCTTTTATGGTAGAGGGACATAACAAAATGTGACCCTCAGTGATTCTCTGTCTAAAGAGAAGTTGAACTACCTCATTTTTCCTGCATGTGTGAACGAGGCCCTCAACACTCCTTCTGTATGTCCTAAGCTGTTTCAGGCCAAGGATCTGCCTAATTCCACATTATCTCCATCAGTAACCCTGGCAAGCTCAAACAGAGCAAAGGCATCCCTGGCTGCCTGCTAACTCTCAGTTTGCCCCTAGCCTTGGATATGCAGAGATCGTAGTGCCCCTGGATATGGAGACTGCAGATACTTGCCATGTCTAGAGGCCATTAGAAGTTACCTCCATGGACTTATCCAAGCCCTTTAAAAATCCACCTGAACGAATAATCGAGCTCAGCATTTATAGAACACTTCTTTTCAAAATGGTCTATGCAATCTCGGTCACCTTTACATTATTGCTCTGAGGTAGGTTGGCCCTGTTACCCTTCGGGGGGGGGCAGCAATGCGGCTGAAAGAGAAGGGCTTGCTTAGAAGGTGTCCCTCTTTGGACCAATGAATTCCATATATTAAATCTGCTTTTGGTGAGTCACACTCAAACCATCGTAAAGGGCCAAGGAGACATGACTTCAACAGCAGAACCATCTGCCAAGCCGCCTCTTTGCACGTCACTGAGATACCGGAAAGGCAACCTGCCTAACAAAAGTGTCAGATGACTCAAGAAAGAAGGCAAGGCCCTCTGACTGGGGGAGAGAGTGAGAGATGCCAGCTAAGGCACAGAGGGGAGGAGCAGGAGGCTGTCTTTGGCAGACTGCAGAGATCAGCATGGGGGGGGGGGGAGGAGACTGATGTCTAAACTGGACTGTAGATCCACTGTTGTGGCATTCCCCCTATCAAGCAGTTTGGCTGCTTTTAACACAAGGTAGTTGCTCTCCAGTCCTCAAAGCGCAACAGTTAATGACCTCCAATTTATTCTCGCCTGTCCCTTCTTGCCACTCATTTAGGTACATCACTGCAGATACTACCCAGGGGTGTGAAGGAGAGGAGGGGGCAGCTGGAGTTACTGCTCCTGAAGTTCAGGCCTAGACCTGGAGGTGACCACTGGTGGTGAATGAGTGAGGAGCAAAATGGTGGATGAGCTTGCATGACCCAACATACTCCCAAGGCCTTGGTGAATAAGCAGAGTGAACAAAGGCATGCCCCCAGAGGCTGTTGCACATTCCCAGAGTGGGATTGCGTAGAAGGAATCGCAAGATCCTCTGGAGCATTGTGTATTATTGATGTCATAATGCAACAAGGCATTATGTGTTGGGGGTGAAGTCTTCAGCAATGCCACAGATGGGTGGGGCAACTGAAATGTTCTTGGGCTGCCACTGAGTGTGATGGGTGCTATGAGCCTACACTAGGTGGGGTCATAAGAACATAAGAAGTATCCTGCTGCATCGGATCAATGGTCCATCTAGTCTGGAGCAATGTTCCCTCTAAGCTGAGTTAGTGTGAGCCAGCTCACAGTTTTTTAGCCTCCGGCTCACAAGTTTTTGTCTTCGCTCAGGAAGAATGGCTCCAGAGCAAACTCATTTATGCAGTAGCCCAATCGATCGCTCACAACTGTAATGCCAGTAGCTCACAAAGTAGAATTTTTGCTCACAAGACTCCACAGCTTAGAGGGAACATTGGCTGAAATCCAACACACAGTGGCCAAGCAGCTGCGTTGGAGGGCCAACCGACAGGGGCATAAAGGCCAAGCAGTGGTATTCAGAGATTCCCATTGGTCATCATAGCTAGTAGTCATTCCTGGCCCATAAATCTTCTGTCTAATTCTAATCCTCTTTTAAAGCTGTCCATGGTGCCATCACTAAATTCACTGGCAGCAAATTCCAAAGTTTGATCACTTCTGAAGAAGTACTTCAAAGGGTCTAGGGAAGGAGAGGGAGGAGAAACAAGAACTGGGAAAAGAGGAGGGAGGGGGGTGAGTAGGCAGCAGGGCCATGGGGAATTGGGGGCGAGAAAAGAGATGGGCTGGGAGGTAGGAAGATCCAGAGGGTCCAGGACATTTCCCCTCCCTCTGTCAGTCCCTCTCCCCTTTGTTGCTTGGGTACTTTTGGCAATTTATGCCCCAAAATGAAGACCACAACACGGAGGAGACAAGCCGCTCTTTGTAAGCATTTTTATTTGCTTATATTGCACAAAAGCAACTGGAAGTGAACTTCTGAGTGAGTCTACACATAGTGCACTTCTTTGTGTGTGTGTGTACGTGATTGTATACAGAGGGCATGTTAACCTACAAACGGAAACTGGTTTACCTGGTATGTCTGCCTCCCAAAGAATTCTGAGAATGGCCATTCCTGCACCAAGAAACAAAAAGGCAAGCGAACATTGCGGCACACTTTCCCAACTAGATTTCCCAGAGTCCCTTGAGACTGGGGGGTGGGGGAGGAGCCAAGACCATGAAACCTTTTCCAAGCCCATCTCAGCTTGCAGCAGAGGGGTGCCCCAAATATCCTGAGACTAGCTAGGGATGAAGCACTCAAGTGAGGATGACAGAGGTGTGTGGCGTATGTAATGAAAACAAGGCATTTTAGATCATTTTGGAATTCTCTAGCCTACTGTACATCTTCCAAAGCTTAACTCTTTTCCCCCCAGCTCTACATTCATTTATTGCATTCGACCCTTGGTTGCCCATTAGGTAAATAAATGCACTTATTTGAAAAGGGCAGTCAAGTTTTGCTCTGGGTCCCCCCCCCCGGTAAATAATTCAAGTGTTTAAATGTGGCATTCTGCGTATATCACATTCTGCTACGGAAGCTATCATAACATAACCGAACCCCCTTTGGGTGGGGAAGTTCGTTTCATTGCTTGATTAGGGTTTTTTATTTTTCTTTCACATCAACATATTGCTAACATTCCTCGGTGAGAGAGCGATGGCTGCTCACCTAAGCAAAGTCTGGTCTTTGGAGGGCAGTGGGAGCCAGCCCTGGGGCAGGGAGACCCTCTGCAGCACCTCAAGGGGGGGGGGCATCATGCTCCTCCAGGGCCTCTCTTCACTTCTCGCTCTTTGCTTTCTCAGCCGACTCCACTTTCTCTGTGGTTTTACTATCTTTGGGGTCTGTGCTGGAGGACTTCTCCACTTTCTCTGTCTTGGGCTTGGCTGCCTTGGGGGCTTCTTTCACAGGCGTCTCCTTGGGGTCTTTGCTGGGTTCCTTCTTGGCTTCTCCTTTAGCCTTGGCTTCAGCTTTGGGTTTCTCCTCCTGCTCCTTCTTGGGCTCAACTTTCTCCTTCTTGGGTTCTTCTTTCTTCTCTTCTGTCTTTGGTTTCTCTGATTCCTTCTTGGCTGGCTTGCTTGGTTCCTTGGCCTTTGTGTCTTTCTCCTGAGGTTTTGGCTCAGGCTCTTTCTTTGCTGCTTTCTCTTCTTTCGCAGGCTCTTCTTTGGGTTTTGTTGCTGGCTTGGCAGGTTCCTTTTCCTTCTCTTTGGGCTCTTCAGCTTTAGCAGCTGCCTCCTCCTTCTTCTCCTCAGGGGTAGGTGTCTTGGGCTTGGTCTCTTCCTTGTCCTCAGTCTTGGCCTTCTTCTCCTCTGCCACTACCTTGACTTCAGGTTTCTGCACATCCTTAGCTGTGGTTTCCTTTTTGTGCTCTTCTTTCTTGCTGTCTTTCTTCTCTTCTGTTTTTGCTTTTGTTGGTGCTTTCTCCTCCTCTTTCTCCTTTTCTTTCTTTTCTTTCACATCTGCCTTCGTATCTTCCTGGGGTGACTTGGCTGCTTCCTTTTGTGGGGCTGCCTCCTTTTCTGATGACTTGGCTTTTTCCTTTGTGGGTGACTTGACCTTCTCTGGAGACTTGGCTTTTTCCTTTGTGGGTGACTTGACCTTCTCTGGAGACTTGGCCTCCTCTTTCTCTGGAGATTTCACTGCTGGGGACTTGTCCTTCTCTAGAGACTTGCCTCCCTCCTTGGTAGGAGATACAACCTTTGATGGAGACTTGGCTGCTTCTTTGGTGGGGGACGGAACTTTCTTGGGTGACTTGGCTGCTGGACTCTTGGCCTCTTCCTTGGTTGGGGACTTCACTTTGGCAGGGGATTTGGCCTCCTCCTTTGTGGGAGAGGCAGCCTTTGCCGGGGATTTTGCTGCAGGAGATTCAGCTTCTTCCTTTGCTGGGGACTTAATTTTTTCTGGAGATTTGACTCCTGCATCTTTCTCTGCAGGCTCCTGTCCTGGGGATGTAGCTGCTTCTGCTGATGGAGACTCTTTGCCTTTCTCTGGAGATGTAGCCTCCTCCTCCTCCTCACCCTCTCCTCCTTCAGATTCTTCCTTCTCCTCTTTTGCCTCCTCTTCTTCTTCTTTCTCTTCCTCTCCTTCTTCCTCCTCCCCTCCCTCCTCCTCCTCCTCTTCCTCTTCTTCCTCCCCTTCTTTTTTCTCACCTCCATCTTCCTCAGTGACTTCTTCAGTTACTTGGACTTCCTCAGTCTGCTCTTCCACAATCACCGTCTCCTTCTCTGACTTCTCCACCACTTTTATCTTCTCTTCGCTTTTGACCTTGATATGAGTGGAAATGCTCGGAACTTTGGGGAGGGCTTCGGGGAAAGGGAATAGTCCCAATCCTGCTCCCATGCGGCACTCCTCTCCTTCCAAAAGCTTCCTGTTTCAAAGATGGGTGGGAGAGAAAAAGAAAGTCGGAACTACTTTACAATGTGCCGCGTGTAGTCACAATGCAAAAAACCCCCCACAAACCAAACAGATGGGCAGGGAACTCTTAATAACTTTTAAAAATTATATTTCTGACCTAAACCTCACTTTTCTCTCCATTGGGGACCCTGAGTGGCTTCACCCTTCTCCATTTTATCCTGACAACAACCCTGTGAGGTAGTTTAGGCTGAGAGGATATGACCCACCCAAGGTCGCCCAACAAGCTTCCACAACAGGGTGGGAATTTGAACCTGGATCTCCCAGATCGTCATCTGACACTCTAACCACTGCCCCCTCCTGCTGGCTCTGATCAAGAGACTGATGGGCTGACCCCCCCAGCCCCAAAACTGCCCTATTAAGAAGGCACATTAGCAACACAATGTTTAGATCCATGTCTAAATGCAATCCACCATTTATTTTTTTATTGTCACATTGTGAATGACAGCATATATCAAAAATAGAGAGGTATAATACCCAAATTGCATTTCACATGCAGTGGTATAGCCTGACATTGATTGGTTAAGCTAGAGGGGTGGTGTGGAATGTTGTGGTTTGCTCACAGAATATTTGATTGCCAAATCTTTTGTCACCCAGTTTCTCTGAGAGATGGGAAGCTTGTCAGTTTGGCTAGGATTCTATAGACAGGCACAGCGAGGGATGGGAAAGAGGAAGGAAAGGAAGCTCAGGGCCTTGAAACTCAGACAAAAAGGATGAAAGAAGGTGTGATGAGTGGTAAGTAGACGGATAAGGAGGAACCTCTAGGGAGGAAAAAGGCAGAGAGGCGGCTGGAGGAAAAAGGCAGAGAAGGGTTTAATCTGCATGTGATGAAGGAAGGGGAAAAGCAAGCTGTGTCGGTGTTGGGAAATCAGAGCAAAACACAAAGAGGACTAAAGGATATGGGACTAGGCAGGCAGCAGCCCAAGAGCAATGAGAGATACATGGCATTTGAGAACAAAAGAGTAGAACAGAAGGGAGAACAAAAGAGTAGACGTCTAAATTCAGAGCAAACAATCCTAAAGACAAGGGGTATGGGGCGTGCACGTAAAAAGTGTGAGAAGTTGGTAATGTCAAGAGGTGGCGTTTTGCTGGTGTGTGTTACCCTTCCCTAGCATGGCTTGATAATTCCCCCTGATTGGTGGAGGGATACCTGTATGCAGAAATCTCTATATCCAGGGCCATTTTGACGTTGAGCAGATCTTGGTATTCCCGGAGCTGGGCTGCCATCTCCCACTTGGTGTTTCTCAGCTCGTTATCCAGCTGTGCGATACTCTCCTACGGAAGAGAGACAGAATTGTTCTGGGTTCAGGTGGGCAGCCATGCTGGCCTGCAGCAGAAGACCTAGATTTGAGTCCAGTAGCGCCTTAGAGACCCAACCAGATTTTGGGGGGTTATAAGCTTTTGAGAACCAAAGCTCCCTTCATCAGATTCTAAGGCTTATACCCCTAAACTCCTGTTGGTCACTAAGGTGCCACTGTACTTGAATCTAGGATTCTTCTGGTCGTCTTTCACCTTGTTCAGGGCTGGACAATTGGTGGCTCACAGGCAGATCTGGCCCTGAAGGAACTGGATCTGACCTTTTGTGGTCCTTTCCCATTTTAACCAAGCTATCTTTAAAAGTGAGTCAAATGGACATGACCCCAGCCAAAAAATAATAAGCACAATTGGTCTAAAAGGAAGCATTTTAAAGTTCATTTCATTGGAAAGGGAAAAAAATCTTCCATGGAAGTCAATGGGGATGAACTGTGGCTGGATCATGTCTATCGTTTTCAAGATTGGATCCCATGGAACAAATCTGTGGATGGAAATGGGTGTGTGTGATTTCTGCTGATTCACCCTCCTGCAACCAACCTATTCCCTAAATATGATCCTGGGAATCACCTGCCCCCAGAAGCACTGGGGAGTCATTTCTGGTTACAGCTGGAGAGGGGAAGGTGAGGAGGTCATGCTATGCAGACAGAAATCCATTCCATCCATGAAAATTACCAGTGGATCCAAAATGTTAAAAAATAGAGATCTTGCCCTGACCTGGATAGCCCAGGCAAGCCCAATCTCATAAGATCTAGGAAGCTAAACAGTGCCGACCCTGGCAAGTACTTGGAAGGGAGACCTCCAAGGAATACCAAGGGCTGGGACGCAGAGGCAGGCAATAGTTTTATTTTTATTTATTTATTTATTCTGGGATTTATATCCCGCCCTACCCGTATGGCTCAGGGCAGCAAACAAGTGGCAGATGCCGAGAATAAAACACATGTTACATTAAAACTTCAGTACATCTTGTTTTGATTTAACTAAAAAGGTGCTCTACAGTCCAATTTTAAGAAAGTTCAAGATGGACGATCCTCACTGGCGGCCGACGATGTAAAAGTCTGAGCGCAGGGCTCGTCTTCAGGGCGGCGCAGGGCTCTTCTTCAGGGCGGCATCTCTCCGTACCCAAGGCCAGGTAGATGGTAAATCCCGCCACGAAGATGGTATAGTGGCAGTGGCGGCGGCTCCTACTCAAAAGCCTGGCGGAAGAGCTCCGTCTTGCAGGCCCTGCGGAACTGTACAAGGTCCCGCAGGGCCCAGATCTCCGCCGGGAGCTCATTCCACCAGGTAGGAGCCGCCACCGAGAAGGCCCTGGCCTTGGTTTGGGAGAGCTTGATGTCCCGGGGGCCTGGGACCTGGAGAAGGTCCAGGATCCCTGATCGCAGCGCTCTTGGGGGAGCATATGGGAAAAGGCGGTCCCTTAGGTAGATAATAGTAAGCCAGCTGCCTGAAACATCCAAGCCCCACTAGGGGCTGCCAGAAGTCAACCATGACTTCCAGGCATACACACATATACACCCACAATGATCAGAAAAAAATTAGAGATTTACACCTCTCGTTTGGATTTTGTAAGTAATACATAAGTAGTATGGAAATCTTTGTTCCAGCCTCCTATGCTATACTTGGGTGCAGCTTTCAAACCTTCTGTATTTTGTTGTACAAAAAATCCAAAGATGTGATACTTAAGACATAGAAGATCTCTATTTCTTACATCCTGAAAAGACTAGACATGATCCAGCTTGTCTGCCATGGAATAGGTAAGAAAGACAGATAGGTTTGCCAACCTCCAGGTGAGGCCTGGATTTCTCCTTGAATTACAACTCATCTCCAGACTACAGAGATCAGTTGCCCTGGAGAAACTGGCAGTTTTGGAGGGTGGAGTCTCTGGCATCACACCCCTTCACTCCCCAAATGCCACCCTCCCCTGCTCCATCCCCCCAAACTCTACATAGATCCCAATCTGGAGTTGGCAACCCTAAAAACTGAAGACAGTTTTTTGTTATATGATGCATATATTATTGTGTTTCCAAAACCTGGCAAAGACCATACTCATTGTGCAAATGTTCATCCTATTTCTTTGATACTAACTAATCATTCTTGTTAACAGACTTCCAAAGGTTGTTACAACTTTGGTAGATCACGTAGGATTTATAGGAGGTAGGCAAGGCTCTGATAATCTTAGGATGGTAACTTTCCTAAGAAACCTCCCTTCCCAGGGATGGAGCGATGACCTTGGACACTGTCTGTGCTTGCTCCGCTGTAATAGATAATGTAACGGTAGACTTGAGGTATAACTTAAGGCCTTGGCGCCAGAACTCTAGTTCTGACACAGAAAGTCTCAACTTGAAGCATCTTTATTACTCAATAAACAAATCACTGCCAGCGAGCGTTGTTGAGAGTAACCTTGTTCAAGGGTCTGAGAAATCTGATCAAACTGCCATTCTCTCACTTGATGCTGAAAAAGCTTTTGACAAAATATGCTGGAAATTTATCCTTTTTACATTGACTAAATTTGGTTTTCCTTATGAATTTTTGAAATGGATTAGAATCCACTATTCATCTTCCAGATCCAGGGTACTGACTAATGGCATATTTTCTGAGCCATTCCTTCTTGAGAGGGGCACTATATGAGGTTGCTCTCTTTCTCTCCATTTTTTAATCTATGTCTGGAACATCTGGCTTGGGCCTTTGGGCAAAATAATATTTATGGCTTTGTATATAACTGTTTTGAATTTAAAATTATTATCTATGCAGATGATCTTTCCATTCTTGCATTAATGAATATGATTAACACCTTTGGAGACTTGTCTGGCTATTCAAATAATTGGACAAAATTTGAGTCGATGCCACTGGAACACAATATATCATGGACTGTCCTTGTTTATGGACATTTTCAGTGGTGCCCAGATGTCATAACTTATCTTGGAATATTGATTCCTAGAGACAGTACGCATATGATTATGCTAAATTTTAATAAGACTGCTGCTGATATGTCTTTGGAATTGGATAGTTGGGCAACTCAACTTGTCTTTATGGGGCAAAGAGGCTCAAAATAAACATTATACCTGGAATTATTTATACTTTACGTGCAATTCCTTTTCATATACCTTGTAGATATATCTGTAAAATTTATACTTTTGAACATTTATATGGGGTTCCTGACTGCCTCAAATATCTTTAAAGAGGATCCAGCTCCCATTCAATGAAGTAGGACTTGGTTTCCTTGATCTTAGTTTATATCATCAGGCATATCTGTTAATTTAAATTTATTATTTGGATTGCTCCTTGCAGTTGGACTATCCATATTTGGCTCTTTTGGCTGTTTGTTTGATGCCCCTCTCTAAGTGGACTGCATTAAGGGTCTGCTTATGCTAGAGTGGATCCTGTCCCTCCTGCAGTTTCTGCAGCTACAGAACTGTGGCACATAAAGTCATGACAATATCAATTTGATCCATTTTCACAGACTAAATTAACATTATGGGCCAAACCAAATCTAAAAATGGGGAAGCAATCTTTTTTATGGAAAGGTTGGACTGATAGAGTGATTTTTACTTTGGACCACTTGATCGACTATGATGATGAGTTTTTGTTATTTTCTCAGGTGAGGCCTAGATATGATTTGTCAGTTTCTGTTGAATGGCAATATGAACAACTGCAACATCTGTTGATATCTAAATACGTCTCTGTGGCATCCCATGTCTCAGAGTCCCCTTTGTTCTTGGATATTCTAATTTAATTGACTCAGAAAATGAAACCTACGATACTTCTCTATAAGTATTTGAAGCTGATTAATAAATATGATATACAGAGTTTCAGGAATGAATAGAGGAAGGAGTTAGATTACCCTATTTTGCCAAAGCAATAGGGTATGGCCTTAAAGTTTATACCTGCTTTCTCTATGGATTCTAAGTTGTGACTTATTCAGCAACAAAAATGATATTTCCATTATACTGGACACCACAGCCACTCTTTAGTAAAGGGCTAAGTGTCTCATTGTTGGCACTGTAACTCACAAGACACGTCCCTTAAAAATATGCTTTGCGCATGACCAGTCATTCAGCTTTTCTGGGAAGAAGGTATTACTTGTATCAGTATTGTATAAGAATACTCATTGATGTTTAAGGATGCTTATGTACTTTCAAACTATACTTGGAGGCTAACTGATGGTCAATGAAAACAGACCCTCCATGCCCATACTACAGCTACAAGACTTGTATTAGTACATTGGAGAGATAACTACTCACCTCTGGTAAATCAAACAATTGAGGACATTACAACTTTATCTGTATCTGAACATATGACAACAACAATTGCACATGGCCTTATTTTTAGCTATTTGGATATTTAGGTATTTGGAAACCTTTTATAGAAACGTATGGGTAGATCTGCTACCATTGTTGCTATATTTTTGTTTCTACTTTGTATATATATAGACTGAAGAATAAAACGTGTGTTAAGAATGCTGCCTTGCCTGTACCAAGCTGCACATCCCATGGGTATACGGTCTATGACCAAGCCCAGCTGCATGTTACCTGATAAGACAGGACATCGACATGATGGCGATCTTCCATGTCGGCCCTCTGTCTCTCCAAAGACTCCTTGGTCCCTTTCAAAGCTTCAAGCTCGGTAGTTTTGGATTGCAGCTGTCGACGGTACTCGGAAATCTCTTCCTGGGCTGTGCGGATGGCATCTGTGTTCACCCTGGCAGCTTCTGACAGCTTGTCCAATCTCACTGTTGTGTGCAGGAGATGAATGGGGGGAGAGAGTAAACAACAAATATAAGAGGTCTTCTAGATCAGACCAAAGGCTCATCTAGTCTGGGATACTGTTTCTAACCCTGGCCAGGCAGATGCTTCCTGGACAGCCCAAAAGAAGGTTGTGAAGGAAATCAGCTCTCCCCTGTCCTCCGACATCTGCTATTCTGCCTCTGAAAATGGGGGGGGGGGGATTGTTTAGCTGTCCTAGCTAATATTTCCCTCAGAGAGCTATCCTCTAGGGAAATGTATTTATCTATCAATGAAAGTATGAAGGTGTCTGAAATTGGGTCAGCCCACCTAATCCATCTAGCTCAGTCCTGTCTATGAGAAGCAGTTCTCCCGAATCATAGCCAAGAGCTTTCCCCAGTCCTGCTACCTGAGATCCATATAACTGGAGATGTTCAGCATTGTATCTAGAGCTTGGGCATACAAAGTGTGTGATCCTTCACTGAGCTATGGCCTGTTGTCGCCTTCTTTTAGGTGACATGGTCCTAACACAACTCTATCACTGGAATATTTTGAAGGAGCTCAAGCATATTAGCAAAGATCATCTCATTAGGGGGCTTAATATTAGCCAAGGCATTTATAAGAACACCAGAGTCTCTGAGCATACGCATAATATTTGGTAATCTGGAACTGGAGATGAGTCCCAGTTAGGAAACAGTGAAATCCATGGAGTCTTCAATATCAGCACTTCTTTGTGGAAATCTCTTTTGTTAAAAAAATGATGATTATAATAATGGACTATCTTGGGTTAACTTGCCTGTTTGGCATTTCCTGTTTGTAGCGTGAATGAAAGCTTATTCCCAGAATTAAACTTTGTTGGTCTTAAAGGTGCCACTGGACTTAAGCTGAAAATGTGGCAAGCCTGCCCCTGAATGGTGCCATTTTAGACTGCACGCAAAGTGTCATATGACTGAACATTCCTCTGTACAGAAAGAAAAATCCCTGCACAGAGAAAACAGGAATCTCAAGCGAAAGGCTAAGCCAAACCCTTATCCTTACTGGGCAATAAGTCCAGGCGTATTACTATGTTAAGAGGGAACTGCTGGTGAGCGCTGAGAAATCAGCTAATGAAATAATTAAGGGATGTTTTGGGTCTCCACTTGCTGCACCTCTGTATGACTTCCTGCTTTGGCCTTGCCTCCTTCTAATCAAGGTCTGCTAGAGGTGGGTCATTTGGCTGTGTCTTTTTAACAAGTGAGACCAATTCACTCAATTTCTGCCAATGCAGAGATGCAACTGAGTTATCTAGCCTTGGAGGAAGCGGCAAGATACGTTTTTGCATGGGATTCTACCCCAGGCTTCCTAGATCAGTGACCTACACAGAAACATAAATCAAGGTGAACAGCCGTGTTGGTCTGAAGCAATAGAACAAAGTTAGAGTGCCACTGGCCTCTAATTTTCTTATACAGAAACAGAAATAATGAACTCCTCATAGTGGCGGGGGGGGGAGCTGTTCCTATTTTGCACTCAGAAAGTAGGTGCGAGAGAGAAGTGGGCCTCCCATTTCAATTAAGAAACAAACATGTCTCAGTTAACCAAAGTGTAGGAAGCACTACAATAAATCAACATTTAAAGGCCAATTAACGATGTGCTTGCTGGTTCCCTGTAGTTCCGTTGCCCTACTCCAGTAGCTTGATGGAAAGTATATAACAGCCCCCTCCTAAAGTCAGCGCAAAAAGCTCTTTGGCACACACGAAAAATGCTCTCTCTCTCTCTCTCTGTGTGTGTGTGTGTGTGTGCATGGCTAAGGAGAAGTTTGTGCCGGCATTTCCATCAGTCATGTGTTTGGAGTATCAGGTGCTGACTTGCATGTATGAATGAGCCATCATAGATTAACCTACAGAAAGGAAGCATCCAAATCACTCTTCCCACCCAATGCTAAGGAGGCGGTGAAAGACTGGATGAAGGCAAACAAACGAACACTTAACCCAGACAAGGTGAATTGTTGAACAGTCTGTTCTGGACGGGGTGGCACTGGCACGAAGATCAGGAACACAGTTTAGAGAGCACTCCTGGATTTCTCACTCTTACTGGAGGTGACCAGGAATGCTTCTTCTTGGCTTAGGCTGATTCATTGGCTATGGCGTTCCATGGAGAAAGCTGACCTGGCCACTGTCATTTGTGTGGCGATAGAATCCAGATTATACACCTGTCACATGCTCCAGATGGGACTGCCTCTGAAGATGGTTGGGAAGCTTCAGCTGAGGCCAAATCTGGGGTGTTCACAGGGGTCTGATGCAATGAATCAGACCCCTGTCAGGTATACCAATTGCTCTGGCTTCCGGTTTGTTTTGGGCCCAATTGAAAGAGCTCTTTTTAAAAACCTTTTAAAACGTTTGAATTGGCTTGGATGCAAAGTAATGGAGGGGGCCACTTCCATGCTTATCAAGCTTGTCAGATACTGATATCTCTGCAGGGAGGAAGGTTGTTGTAGAGCTAGTGAGAAATGCAATGGTCTCCTCAGCTGCCCTTACTCCAAACTCTAATGTAGTGGGCATCTTTGCTGCATTTATTTATTTTTATTTGGCTGATATCCCGCCCTCCCTGCATGGCAGGCTCAGGGCGGGTTCCATCAAATTTGATAAAAAATACAATATACACAGTTAATACAGTTAAAACACTAGTAAAACACCACAATGGCCTTCATCCGGTGCTGTTGTCATTGACGTTAAAACCTCACAGATGCCAACTCTGGTATGCAGTTCTGACCCGCTGAGGGGAGGCCCAGTAAAGAGGGAGGGAAGTCTGTCACCCTAGTTAAAAGCCTGGTGGAAGAGCTCCGTCTTGACGGCCCTGCGGAACTGTAAAATAACCCACAGGGCCCTGATCTCATATGGGAGCGCATTCCACCAGGTAGGGGCCAGGGCTGACCATCCAATGCTATTGAAGGCTTTTTGTGTTCTTGAATGCCTTTGGATATCTTTTAAGATAACTTGAATAAAACTTTGTTGGTCTTAAAGGTGCCACTCAGACTTTGTTCTGTTGAGTGACATTACTAAGACACCACGGGTGGAGAAGCTGTAATCTGATTTGAGCCACTGGCTAAGATAGGAGGACAGCACCACTAGCAACAGGAAAAGGGGGGAAAACCCAAACAGAGCCAAACTCACCCCAGAAGTGTTCCAAAAACATTCACTATAATCCAACCCATTTCAATCTTTTTTAAAAACCAAAAAAACTTAATCAAGATACTAAACCAGACAATAGGTGTTTTTTTTACTTCACAGTCAAGAACAAAATGAGCATCAACATGGTTTGAGACCCGGGTGCCGCATGACGGAGTGAGCTCCCGTCTCTAGTTCCAGCTCCTGCCAACCTAGCAGTTCGAAAGCAAGAAATTGCAAGTAGATAAATAGGTACCACTTCGGTGGGAAGGTAACAGCGTTCCGTGCGCCTTGGCGTTTACTCATGCCGGCCACATGACCACGGAAACGTCTTCGGACAGCACTGGCTCTTCGGTTTTGAAACGGAGATGAGCACCGCAACCCTAGAGTCGGATTCGACTGGCTTTTGAGCAAGGGAACCTTTACCTTTTTTTAAATGCTTTTTTATTTAAAACAATTAAAAACTATTTTTAAAAACCACATTTCATAAAATTAAAATATAACAGATAAGGAACAAAAATGACCCATAGTATGGAGATAGAAAAAAGAAGAAGAAAACCGTGCCTGATCATACATCAAATATATCTTCCAGCAAACCAATTTCAGATTCTAAGCTATCGAACCTGTACTTTAAAATGAACTGAAGCAATCTCTTACCTAATATAGGAGAATATCAACTGGCAAACAAGTCTTTTGCAATCTTATCTGTATAATAGCTACACAGCTGTTAGCCTTCACGATGTTTGCACCTTAAAAGCAAAGTAGTTTGGGTGCTCTCTCTTCTCTGAAGGCTTACACTGCCCTACCTGAACCCTTCTGAGTGAGTCCATTGCCCAAAGTGAGCTAACATTATAGCAATGTTCTATGAGTATCTCTCAGCTTTCAATGACAAGGGGCTTCATTCTTTCTGGTGGGTGGAGAGCAATGCTCCCTCTAAGCTTTGGAGTCTTGTGAGCAAAAATTCTACTTTGTGAGTTACTGGTATTAAAGTTATGAGCCAGCGATTTAGCTGCTGCATAAATTAGTTTGCTCTGGAGCCGTCCTTCCTGGGCTAAGACAAAAATGTGTGAGCCGGAGGCTAAAGAACAGTGAGCTAGCTCGAGTAAAATAAATACATGTTTAAAAGTTTTTTTTTAAGGACTACATAGTGCACCCTTGACGGCCCAGGGTAGCCTGATCTCATCATATCTTGGAAGCTAATCAGGGTCATCCCTGGCTAGTCTTTGGATGGGAGCAGGGCTCTTTTTGTAGAAAAAGCCCAGCAGGAACTCATTAGCATAACAGGCCACACCCAACAGCAGGAACTCATTAGCATAGTAGGCCACACCCCGACAGCACAGCACATTAGCATATTAATCCACACCGCCATGTCACCAGAAGTGTGGTCATCCAGCCACACCCACCTTTTGCTCCTTATTCTGTTTACGTTGTTTGTTGTCAAAACCCAGGGCCTTTTTTTGTAGCAGGAACCCTTTGCAGGGTTAGGCCACACACCCCTAATGTAGCCAATCCTAATGAGTTTCTGCTGTTGGGTGTGCCCTATTATGCTAATGAGTTCCTGCTGGGCGTGGCCAACTCAGGAGCCAGCCGGAACTCCGTTCCTGTGCGTTCCTGCCCCTGGATGGGAGACCTTGAAGGAATACCAGGGATGCTACACAGAGGCAGGCAATGACAAGCCACCTCTGAACATCTCTTGTCCTGAAAACCCTACAAGGTTGCATTAAGTCATCTGTGACTTCATGGAACTTCCCCCACCACCACCACACACAGTGCAATCCTAAACAGAGCAAGTCCCTTCTAAGTCAACTGACGTCAAAGGACTTATAAGGATGTAAATCTGTTTAGGATTGTACGGTCCGTGTTGT